TCAGCTATAAAGAAAGATAAACTTGAGGCCTTTATAGGTAAATGGTCACAACTAGAGACCATACTCACAAGTGAAATAAATCAGACTTGCATGTGCAAGCACCGCATTGTCTCACTAGTGTAAAATCTGAAAGAGTTAATTTAAACTAGGAGGTATGATAGACATTGTGAAATGATAGGAAAACACTTAAGGGTAAAGGGCAACTGGGATGGGAGAAAAGAGAAGGGAAAGAAGGAGAAATTTTGTATGTATGTATACACAGGATAGTTAACATAGTTGTTCTACTGTCTTCTATTCTTTGCTGAAAGAAACTGTCAATTAGTCCTTGATTGATGAATATTGCATGTCTCTATCTGTTTTCATGAGAAACCACTTTGAAGACATCAATATGTAATACAACAAACATTGTTAATTTCCTACAACTTTGTTTGTAAGTCTGTACTGTCTGTACTGTTCTTTTGTTATTTTGTAAAAGGTTGTCTGTCTGTCAACATTTTCCTCCTTTTATTTTTAAAATTAAAAAAAATCAACAAAATTATTGTAGTACAACTTTCATAGCTACTCTGTGTATACATATAACAAACATATTTTCAACATCACACTAAATGTCAAAATGGCCATGCTTCCAAAACTGACATATAGATTTAGTTCAATTTCAAGCAAGAGTAGGCATGCAGCACACATTTTTGGAAAAGGGAAGTGGCGAAGTCAAAGTTAGAGGCTTTAAGAGTGGGTGCATTTGGCTCTGAGGATCATGCTGGTGTGACCACCACCAGGATGTGGACTGGAGACTCGAGTGCCTACCACAGCCTTAAAGTCCTCTAGTAAATTCAATTACTTTTTTACTCGGAAGATGGGGACCTAGTGGCTAGACCCAAGAACCAAAGCAAAAAAAACTGTAAAGGACCCAAACAGATAGATAGCACAAGAATCCAATATGGATTGCAGACAGCATCACATTAAAGCCTTCTATGGCTGAGTTGAATGAAAAATTTGAACAACTTTGAAATTAAGAGAAATATATATTAAAATTTATATTAGGTATATAGTTACATAGGTTTATTAATATATACCACAAGTTTGTAAGTTCAGAGGCAGGAGAGCGAACAATGTCCATGTACATGATGGAGGGAGAACCAGGGGATCCAGTAGCTGCTCATTCCAAGAATCTGGAAGCCACATAACAAAGGAGAACAGGAAGCAGTGACAGTCCAAGACCAAAGGCTGAAAGCCCTCTGGAAATTTGCTGATGTGAGTTTGCATTGAGAGGCTGACGAAGCTGGAGTCTGATGCCCACAGGTGATGGCAGCAATGAAAAATATCCCTTTGAACAGGACAGGGTTTCACTGTGTTGTCCAAGCTGGCCTTGAACTGAAGACTGTCCTGCTGAGTCCTGGGATTACAGTGTTGTAACACACCACACCCAGCACTCAGCTTTTCTTGAAGTTTCCTATCATCGAATTCTTTTGTGTCCCACTGACATTTGAAAGAGTACTCTGGTGTTTAGATGATATTCTCATAACCACACAGCTTCGATGTGTCTGGCATCCTGGGTGATAAGTGGGGATTCTCCACCTGTACAGAAGCGAGGAAACAGCACTAGAAGTGAGTACAGCTCTGGATCTTCCTGGATCTCAGATTTTCTTATAGCTGAGGTTATCCAAGCAGAACCTCCACTGGGTTTGATCTTAATCATTTCCAGCTTAGAGAAAATAGTTTTATGTTTTTTTGTTTGTTTTTGAAAGGTTTAACCCATCTTTATCTTTTTTTTTTTTTTGGTTTTTCTCTGGTACCGGGAACCGAACTCATGACCTTGCACATGCCAGGCAGGCGCTTTTGCCGCTGAGCTAAATCCCCAGCCCCTAACCCATCTTTATCTTGTTGAATGGTTAATGTACTAAATATTCTTTGTGATAACTGTTAGAAGCAACTGCTTCTTTCACTAGAAAACTGCTTTTAAGATCCCCATCTTTTCTGTTCAGTTTTGAAGAGGAAGGCAAAGGAGACAGAAAGATACTATTGCTTCTACCAGGAAACATCTGTTTAGAATGAGCCTTAAATCTTACCACATTAATAGTTTGACTATAAGGGAGTGTGCAGATCATATTTAACATAGTGAGAACAGGAAACAGAAGTGGAAATCTCTCTTTCTCTTACTCTAGCTCCAGGAGTAAGATGGTGTGTCTTTCCCAGACATCCCTTTCCTGCCAGGTACAGCCTGAGCCATGTCCTTTCTCTTTATCCAAGAGCTTGGTCATAAGCCTTCTCTGTTTCTATCTAGAATGTTTCTCCTACTCTATTATTCCCATGATTCTTTTCTATTCCCTATATTTGTGTATAACCCTAAGCAAAGGAAATGGGGTCCCTTATAGTGCCAGAGAATATGAGATTTCTGTGGCCCAAGAAATTTTAACTGAAACATTAAGCAATAAAAAGGATGGGACACTTAAGATGAAATTCAGCTGTAAAACTTCTTACCATTTTTGGTATCTGCACAGTGGAATAAAGAGTATTTGCTGGATCTTCCTCTGGATTTTTCTATTGAAAAACATACAACAAACAGAAGAAATCATCACCTGCCCCGTGAGTCACCACAGACAAGAATAGTGAGACATCCAGAATTTGGGGAGGGAAAAACAAAGGTGGAAGAAGACGGAGAGAAGGAAAAGAGGGTTCTAGAACAGAGATGGTAGTCAGAACTGCTATTATAATTACTAATAAATTGCTTTAGGAAGACATGGAATTATTTTTATTTAAATTTATTATTTATTTCTGTATTTATTGCATTATTTTTACTCTGTTGTGTTTAAATGAATTTCAAAAAATATAAGATATACATCTCTAAGCCATGAGCTCTAAGCCTCCCAAGGGGACTAAAGGATAATTTGAAATAATAGTGATAATGCTGCAAATAAATTTTTTCAATAGTCAAGAGGCTCTTGAAGAAACCAGTAAGGTTGCCTGATGTTCACAGACCAAACAAAGCAACAAGGTGGTAAGAAAATCTTCCCCACTAGAGCAAAATGTCCTGGGTTGGTAAAGCTTACTCTTGAACATGTTGGGGTGGCCCTGCAGCCTCTCTGGCAGTGTGTCCTGAACAGAAAAACAGAACAGATGGGGATAACTGATAAAGTTTGGTTTAAGCCAGTTGAGTAGAGCTCAAAGCAGTCTCCCTAAAATGAAGGAAGTTCTCAGAATATTAATGACTTCAAAGAGAAAAAGTAGTATTTCCTCTTCAAAAGAGGTCAGTGTAGGTACATGTGGATATAGAAGATGCTCCCGATCAAGGGATATCAGAAGCTAAAGCCAAAGGGGATTTTGAAGGTCTAATTTCATTTCTTCATTAAATGAGTCACTGTCTAATAGGGCTTCAGGTCGTCTAAAGAGTTTCCCACTTTGGGCTATAGTGATTAGTCCTGGGGAGCTTTCTTAGCTGTCTACTTATTTCATGTCTCCAAGTTTTCTTTTGTTATTTGGGTTTCTTTGAACGTTATTTTGTGACTCTATTTTCAGTTTGAATTATGCTGTGCTCACTTCAACTCAATAAAGTGAGAACTTAAGAAGATAGGTCTTTCCTAAGTTGAGTGTAGGTCCAAAGTGATGTAAGCCCTCTGGCCCTTCTCTTGATAGTTCTGAGTCACCTCAGAGAAAGAGGAATTGGAGCAAACAGTCTTTTGACACCATTACTCAAACACTGTCAAAGTCACAATTCTCCACCCACCTTTATGCAAAAGGAATTGGGCCTTTTGAGAGGCAGCTGTGAACTGCAGGAGGGAAAGGGTGAATCACATAACGTTCACAGCCTGAGTGTTACTAGCTGGGTCAGAACAAGGTGTGTCAGATGCTGCTAACTTCTGCACAGAGGTGAATCCATAATGACTTGGGGAAAAGGTAGGTACACTGGGTTTTCATGGCTCTGTAGTCTAATCTCACTCCTCATTTCCATGTTACCCACACCATGGAAAAGTGTCAGGTAAAATAGAGCCTCAGAAAGATGGATCGTGTCCTAATAAAGATGCAGAAGGACTCACATGAGTGCTGGGGATTGTGTCATACTCTGTGTTCTCTGCAGAACAGGGATAGAAGTTAGGAATTTCCTGGTGGATGTCCTCTCCACTCTTGCTTTTAACAGGATCTGAAACCAAGTAGAGGGAGAATCAAAGCCTGCCTGTCCCACCACTCACCACCCCTACTACCCTATCATCTCACACGTGCAACCCATGAGGGTCACAGCTACCCCAGGTGCCCTGCAACTTAAGGGTTTTGTGGGGCAGGGGACTTTCAGTGTTAAACCTGGGGAAAATCCTAGGTAAATCTTCAGGATGAAGTAGGCCCCGTTCATTCCCAATTTTGGAACCAATGTGACCAGAGTGGAAAGCAGCAAATGTTATAAATGCTTTCAGAGTGTTTTCTGTGTTCAGGTCTCTCCCTCAAATCCCAGATGGACAGTATCAAGGAGGGGCTGAGAGGGCAAATCAGCAGGGCAGCATGGAGGCAAGAGAACAGCTTTTCCAGGAAGAATGTGTTTATGCTGAAATGAGGAGGGAAGATTGGTCTCAAGAGTTGACCCAGTGGAGAAGATTGGGACTCATTTGGGGACTCTTGACATGATGAGGATAAGAAGGGCTGATTGAAGGATACTCTGCGGAAGCGTCAGAGTTGGAGGGCATCATCTCTCAGGTCAGGGGGGCAGAGCTGGCAGTATAAAGCCTGTGTCAACAGAGGAACCACATCAAGAACTCCCTCCGAGAGAAGGAGAGAAGTCGGTCCTGGAGAGAGATTTTGTCTTCAGAAGATAAGGCAAGAACTCCAGTTCTCTTTCTATTCAAGAACCATGGAGTGTAGGCTACCTGTGTGCTTTGTGGTGTAGATTATGACCTCTCCACCTGAATTCTCAGTGCCAAGCCTTACATAAGGCTCATCACATGCTTGTGGAATACATGAGGGACAAAACACACAAGTGACGGTGACAACAATAAAAAATCACACCAGCTCTACCTTTTCTTCTCTTTGTCAGCCTACTCAAAAGAAGTGCCATGGTCACCCCCAGGAGGCATAGCGGGATGAGCAACAGGACACATAACAGTTTCAGGGGGAAACCTGAGTCATCAGCAGCACCACCTTTAAAGAAAGAATGGACAGAAGTGTGAGAAAGGGGGAAAAGTCAGACAGGAAAAGGGACCCAACTTTCGGAGCACCTGCCAGTTTCCTCCCAGCATGATGACTTCCCAGGCCTCAGGGCCTATTCCCCTGGGACTTAGGAGCTGAAGAAGGTATAGTTACTTGGACTAGAGCTAGAAAGAAGGGACAGTCACCTTCACAGAGCTTCCGGGCATGGATGGGGCTTGAAGAATTGCTGCTGATAGGGTTCCTGGCCATACAGATGAAGGTCATGTCATTTTCCCCTAGCGTCCAGGAGATGGGGAGGATGGGGCCATCATGAGACTCATTGGCTGCCTGATCCAGGGTCTTCCAGCTGTAAGTCACATCCTCTCCTCCCTCTTGTATGGAACATATCAGATTGGTTATACAGGTGCCATTCTTATTACTGTAGAGACCCATGGTGACTTCGGGCTTTGACAGGCGTTCTGTGAAAAAAAAGTATAGACAGGAATGGCAAATATACCTATTGTTTTTCTTTCTTTGAGTTATCCTGTACCTGAATCTACTTGAGAAGCCCAGAATGAAAAGAAAGAAGTAATTCAGAGCAGAGTTTTCATTCTTATCTAAGGGTCCTTGCTGATATAACAATGTAGCAATAATAATGATGATGATAACACTCATCAGATCTGTAAGGGGAAGGGTTGTGATTGATGCATCTGCCCAATTAGCTTCCTAAGGTAGTTATCATTTCCCTCCCCATTACAGACATGGAAACTAAGACTCAAAGGAGTTAAGTAATCTGGCTAACACCTGCACATAGTAAGTACAGAAGCCAGAATTTACTTAGATCTGTCTGACTGACACTTTCTGTGTTGCCTACTTACTACACCATGTGGTCTATTACAGAGTCTGAGTAGGCAGGGACCTCAGGGTCAGCTACAGCTACTTCATTCATGCAAGAGTCTCCTCCCCCACATTATTGCCAAATGTTTATCTAGGCTGTGAACATCTGGTGTGTCAGGGAACCATCATCTCAACATGGTAGCCATCCACCATGTGAGCTAATTCTGCTCACATAGAAGAGCCATGAGAATTGATGCTGCTCACCATAGACATGCAGCCTATACTTCCAGGTGAGGGGTTGTGGGGAGTCTGAGCTGTGTATCACCACAGAGTAGATGCCTGAGTCAGTCTTCTTCAGTTGGCTGAATGTCAGAGAGTAGCCTCCATCTTGGAAAAGCACCCTAGGTCTGTTACGTTTCTGTGCTACTATGAAAGTGGCCTGTTTGTCTCCCACGGCTGGCTCTACAGTAGCGAAATTGGTTTCATTGAAGGTCCAGGCAATACTGTCAACTTGTTGTACTGTGAAATCCAGAGAGAAGGTCACAGATCCACCAATGGCCCCAACCAGTTCCTTGAAGGTTTCAGAGACTGCTGACACTGCAGACACAGAAAACCATAAATTAGCCTGAGTCCTTGCCCTTGCCACTAGTTATTCACCACTTCCTTTAGGTCATGGGAAGATCCTAGAAACTCTCAAGGTCCAATGTGAGTAATCTCTGGGATGCCCTTCTAAACCTCACTCACATGAGAACACTGAGATCAGAACCCTCTTGTCTGTAAGGAATGACTGCACATGATCCCACTCCATTCCCAGAGACAGACTTCTGGCTGAAAAAGCCACACTCTAAAGTAGTCCAGAAAACCCAGCTCTATCCTAGTCAGGATACTGTAAGGGCACAAGAGAGGATGTGACTGACTCAGTCTCCCTTAAGACTACCAGATTGCTCTAGAGAGAGCTGAGCATGACACTGATGAAGATAGACTGCTTGACCTGGGGACAGAATTTTTCAGGAATGGATCAGGACAGTAGGAGGTGAGTAACACATTCCTAATGATAGTAGTATCTTACAAAGTTTAGAAAGATTTATTTTTCTAATTTATGATAGAGTGGAGTGGACTGAAAGTCATCCTCAAATCAGCTTCTTATTCACTTGCATTCCAATATGCCCAAGTGGGAAGGAAAAGGGACAATGAGAGGGATCCTTGCACTGTGTCCAAGCTAACTCATGATACTCATCGTAAACTATCAGGAATTGTAGTACCATCTGACTTCCATGAAAACTTTTTTGTGTTACCACAACCTTGGCTCAGCCCAGAAAGCATGACTTTCAAGCAGTCATCAGTGTTTATGTGGTTCCCAGTGAAAAAGAGTTAAAAATGACAGTTGAAGAAACTTCCAAAAGTGGCCAGCTGAGCATTGTAGGGACCAAGTGCTGTGGTTGAGATATAAAATGTCCACCAAAGTCTTATGTTCAGAAGTAGGGCCTAATTGGAAAGGGTAGGTTATTGGGGGGCATAATCTAGAAGGGTATATTTTCATTCCCACAGTCTCTCTTCTCTCTTTACTTCCTGGCTGCCATGATATGAGCAGCTTTCTTCCATTGGACTGTACTGTCACGCCCGTTTTGCCTAGGGTTGGCCTACTGTGGACTGAACCCACTGAAGCTGTAAGCCAAACAAAACTTTCATTTAAGTTTTCAGTGTCAGGTATTTTGTCCCAGCCATGGGAAAGAGACTAATACAGTACATATGAGCAATGAGTCTTCTTCTACATATTAGGTGGCAAACTCTGGGGATAGCATAGATCAGTGATAGACTTTAGATTGGGACCAACATTTTAAAAGCTCTTACTATGATCTTGTTAAACTCTTAAAATGACCTTTGGAGGAATAATTTTTTATATCTCCACCTTACAGATTAGGAACATAAGACAAAATGGGTGTCAGTGCCAGGCTAGTCAGTAACTGGGAAAGCTTACAAAACGACCCTCAGGGTTGAGACTTTAATGTACATTTTATATAGTTGAGAAGACTAAAGAGCATAGACAGAGCTCAGTCAAGGCTCATAGAAATGACAAAATAAAATTAAACTCTGAGACTAAAAGGATAAACCTCAGTTACTTTCCCTTCTGCTTTTCCCTCCCTTCTGGTTCTTAACATAATGTACCAGTTGAATTTATTTTGGGATGTGGTACTGGGATTGAAACCATGGTCTTCACCCTGAGCTACACTCCCAGTTCTTTCTTACTTTTACTTATCTATTCATTTATAGTAAGTCCCTGACTTAATGAACAGTTGAGTTGTGAACTTTTTCAGATAGAACCTGGAATTATGAACACTTGTAGATGCAAACAAATTGCAGAAGTAGCTCTCATGTCTGACGAACATTGCCACAGTTGTGCTGCTATGTGCTTAAAAGTAAAAATAGTTTATTTATAGTACTTTGTGTGTTTTTATGCTTTGCATTGTATATTTGTGTCAAAGGTGTATAAGACTCACTGTGTCAGAATAAAAATGAATCTGACTTCTGGATGTTGTCCTGGAAAAAACTTTTTTGTAAGTTGAGAACTTACAGTATGGTAAAAAGCTTCAGTTAGAAAATAAGAGCAAATGTAAGAGACTTTAGATGGAGCTGCTGACAAAGATCAGGCCAGCTCTTAACAAATGAGAGCAAGAAAAATAGAAAAGGATTCCAACTTGAGCAGCTGGAAGGGACACACTCTGATGAAAGGGGCTCAGACTGGCCCCTTTTCATTTTTTGTTTTGAGGCAGGGTCCACTTCCATGCCATGGTGGAGGGATTCACTTTTCTTATGCATGGGGGCCTTGAGCAGCAGCACCTCACTACTTACTTGAATGCACCCCGCTCCACCAGCCTAACCCTGCAACAACAAACATGTGTTTGTCAGTTTTGTCAGCTTCAAAACACAGACTGTAACTTCATACTCCCTGTAGAAAACTGGAGCAAGGAAAGGTAAGGGCCTTAATAAGGTTTTTGACAAATTCTGACTGGAAAGAGTCTACCTCTGCTAGAGAGAACAATACAGAGAAGCAGAGAGAATTGAAAGGCAGCTCAGCTGCCCTTGAAGCCAGGGCCCCAATTCACTGCTTTGCTCCTCTCCTTATGTATAAGAAAGACAAATTGGGGAAGGGTGCTACATTATAAAACAATTCACTTAGTATAAAACATGTATTCATACCTGGACACTCATACACCCATATATGAATATGTATTACTCTCTCACCATATTAATACGCTAACATGTGTATGTAATCCTTTCATACTAACTTGGCCTTGAATGTGAGGTTCTGCTGTAATTCTCCCTCACAAAACAAAAAGACCAAAGAAAGTTTATCCCAGAATGTACATATGTGTAGGCAGTGGAAAGGTATAGTGGCTGAATCAGGGGTCTCAGAGCCTAAAATAGCCAATCGAATTATAACAAATCTCAAGGGGAAGAGTCCCTTTTTTGCCATGTAATAAAAGAGGCTAAGAACAAAGATCCTTGAGTACTAGCTCCAGGCTCCCTACCTTAGTCTGATCACGTAGTTATCTATCTCCTTATTTCTCCTCTCTTTCTAATAAGGTGATTTTACTTCTCCTTCTAAACTTATATCTCTAATTCTTTCCATTGATACAAAGTTTATGAACTCTGGATGAAATCTACTCTCACGCAGCGTGACAAAATGTTCCAGAAAAGTTCTACCAGTGGCAGAAGTGAGAATTTGTAACTTCTGTGCAATATGCTTTTCTTTTGTGGGGCTGGGTGAGGGTGTACTGGGAATCAAACTCAGGACCTCACACTTACCAAGCAGGCACTGCACCTCTGAGCTATATCCCTGGCCCCCAGGATACTTTTAAATAAATAGACCGAATTTTTAAAATATGAATGTAATATAAGCTGGATACATTAAATTTAGCATAGTCATACTCATTTTTATCTTAAAAGAAATTAAAATGAAAACTCTTGTTGTACCTGAGCACTTTTCTGGGCCTAGCTGGCCTGTGAGTTTGACCAAGCACCCGGGCTCTATTCATTCCACAACTTCTTCTTTTATCACAATATTTTCTAGTACTCCAGCACCAAAGCAAATGTCAGTTCAAATGTCAAATCATGACTAGAAAAGTAGACAAATTCCTATTGTATCCTCTCAGTACTGGCCTCTTCAGATATCCAAAATTGCTTCATAGAGATTTCTTTTGTTGGTCTCTATTAAAATTCAAATATTTTGGCAAGAGTTTCCAAATAATAATAGTTGCCAGTTATTAAAGCTATACTCTGTGCTAAAAATTTACTGTAAATATATACCTAAAGCTCTTTCATAAATTAGATATTTCTGATCTTTTTATACAGGGATCAGCATTCTCTAGTCAATCTGGCTCATCACTTGCCTTTGTAAATAAAGTTTTATTAGAACACAGCCATGCTGCTACATTTACACAGTGTATGGTAGCTTTTGCACGAGATAGACTGAGTTAAGTAATTGCAGCAGAGACCATATTTCCGGCAAAGCCCAAAATATTTACTATTTGGATATTTATGGAATTGCAAGATCATGCTTGTAGTTCGGTGGTGGAGCACTTGGCTAGCATCCACAGTAAAGATTTTTTTTAAAAAACTCACTAATTCCTAACTTCATGAGAAAACAGATTAATAACAAATAATAACCAAGAAATTTATTTAAGAGCACACAGTTAATAGGTTATGATTTGAGGGTTTAACCCAGTATCACTCGAGTTCTGGGATCTACACACTTCCCTTTGGTTCAGTTCAAGGTTTCTTAGCATGTGCGTCAGCTCTAGCTCTTTCCCTCACTCCATACCCTTACAAAGCTCAAGGGCCAAGTCTAAAGTCCTTGGGCATCACTGAACCTCTGTTTCCCCTTCATGTCCTCCAATGACCTTCCCTCAAGCATAGGCTACCAGTGTTCCAGAGCAGGGAAATTTCACCCTGCCAAGTCCCTCCAAATGTTGACTACTTCCTTGATTGCAGATGTGAGATCTCTACCAACTTTTTGCCAAGTTTATCTCCAAAAGTACTACATTCTTTTCCTGGATAAATGTATTTTAAAAGGTAATTTATATTCTCAAACATTTTTCCTCTATAATTTATCAATCAGTGCATATATACTTTAGATCTCTCAAGTGTTATCAAGTTGGTTAAGTAATGTCATTTTTAAAAAAGCTTCCCTCCTTACCTCCCTGACTTTAAGGCCAGGGTGCTTTTAAACTGCCTTTTTTGTAACTACCTCAAGGGGTGTCAAAATAGTCCCTGTAAATGTCTTAGACAAAATCAAATTCATTTTGAAGTTTGAATCAATTAATCCATTCATTCTTTCACCTCAACAGCAGAGATGGAAAGGATGAGTATTCTGAAGTCAAGTAAAGATTAAGTACTTATGTGGGTGCAATTCCTGGAGTTGGGAAACAGTCAAGTAATTTTATTTTCACATTAGGTTTTAGAAAACAGCATTAATTTCTTGTAAGGGTGGTCCCCTCATGGTACGATACCTTCCACCAGGCCCACCTCTTAGAGTTTCCACCACGTCTAAATCACCACAGTGAGGGTGAACTTCCTACCATACACACATTTGACAG